AAACTCGTGGGCAACAACTAACAAAGGAAGCATATTTTATTAGTCAAATCACATGTGAGGGAAGTGGAGCATTTAATGCGATAGTTTGTTGTCTCTGACAAAGGGTTCCTAATATAAAATGAGGGCTTCTCTCTTGGTTAAGCGAAAGAATGATTGCGTTTGTAGCAGCATTTAATGCTGACAACAGTGCACACAACTGATAATATCTAACTAAAGCAGCCTATCCTAAACCACTGAACATCAAATACTAAACAGAATTGACGAAAGCCTTATAAAACTGGGTGGACAACGACGACTGTGCTAGTAACTCTCTCAATTAATGAACAGTCCAACAGCAGACAATATTTTGTAACTGCTCTAATCATCCTACCGCTCTCTCATGCAATTTGAGAACAGATTGCGTCAAAGAATTGAAATTTGCACCCCTTGGCGAAAAAAACTGTGATGCTCAAATACGCTTCAAGACACACCAATTGGTTCCAAGCAGGTTTCGCACAACAGCATTAAAAAAGACCAGGAAATGGAATCCTCAAGCAACATCGCACTTATATTGCACGATCACCTAGGAGCTGTAGTGAACAAAAGCATCTGTCCAAAGAAAATTCAGGGACAACACCCCCAGCTATATTATAACAAAACCAGCTATTCTGACATACATACCATATACAGGCACATGAACTACATGCACAATTTCTTAACAGGAAACAAAGCCCGACTTCAATCACCTACACAACGATGACCATATACAACTGCGAAGTTCTTGACTATTAAATGGTGGATGAACTGGCACAGACCAAAATTACCACCCCCTGAGGCCAACATGCTTCTACATATAAGAGAGGTGACCATCAGTTCCCAAAAGTACCACTCCAACAACAACATACTTCAGCGCCAGACAATTCCAAAACATCTCAGCAGCAATGCACATGTACACCGAACGACCCTTTGTGTCACGAAAGACGATGTACCACCTCACTGCTGGAACCTACGCATAAGTAAAACAACTTAATATGTAAGAAAGCGTTCAGTGGCAAAATGAACTTACAAAGCACACAGCAAGACCCAGCAACACCAGACCATTACATGCTTGGCAAGAATGGAAAAAGAAACAATGAATCTAACATAACAGGTGTTCTCCAAGCATTGTACACATCGCAAGACTGACCCTAAAATCTAGTCCTTGAACAACGAACGCTTAGCGGGGACCTCCTTCTTTCCCTTTCTGGAAACCCCCTCACCGCCAATACAGAACTTATGGGACTCCCCGGGTGAGTTTTTCGAAGAAGCTGATCCAACAGCCTCAAGTTTCTCAACCTTGACCTTTGCAAGAGGAGAGACCAACCTATTGAAAAAGAAAGGGGAAAAAGTCAACAAAACTGGTTAAAGGCTATTGAGACAGCTAGGTGCATTTCGTTTGCTCAACTCACAGCGATGTAGAAGGTGAGCTGGGTATAGAAGTCAGTGTCTTTCCAGGGGAAGAATCAAGCACATTTTTCTGGGCCTTTGAAACAAAAGTGGGAGAGCAGCTCATGGCATCTCCCGAATCCTGAGACGTGGCAACACTGAATGATTGACCAGAAATCAATGGCTTGGTTTGCACATTACCCCTTGTGTACCAACAACCACTCCAGTCTGTTCAGTTCCTAGCTTTGTCAAATCCTCAGACAAAGAGCCGACCTGAGCAACTAAAGCTGGCGGCTGTGAATCCCCAATTCTGATCACATGACTTTGCACAGCAAGTGGCAAACCACTGGAGAAACACGAACACGGGCGTTAGTTTGTGAAAATCATGTTGTGAAGCTAATAAGAAAACACATATACCATCCATAGACCCTAAAAAAATGCTAACCTCTTAGCTTCAGCACCGTGAAAGGAAACACAAAATTCTTGGCCTGAATGCTCAGACAAACCAGATCCTGAAACCTTGTCCTTCCCTTTCACATCACTTTAGTAAAAACGCAACAACATTAGACGACAATCACAAACCTCTAAGTGCAGAAAAACTAATAGCACATTGCTGCCAAGTCAAACATAAACCCCAAGGAAGAGCGTACCCTGCTGAATCCTTCCCAGCATGAGCAATACCAAGCTCTGAAACAGGAAGTTGCATGGCAAAGGGTGATGAGCTGCAAATCAGCAAACACAATCCTCAGACATAAAAACACATGCAGATCCAATCAGCGTGAGAAAATAAGCCAATCACCACAACTCAAAAACCAACCTGAAAGAATCAGCACCAAGCAACCCAATGCTAAACTCTGTGGGAGATGGAGCGCTTGAAACAGTGTCTGCAACTTTTTCTTTTCCTTTGGAAATACTTGAGTGGCATAAAAAAATGGCTATGAACACGGCGTTCTATTTATCACCGAGGCTGCACATAGTCACAGATGAAAGAAACAACCTTGATGGGGCTGGGCGGGAGACAGGATCCTATGCACTCGACAACAGAAGTGGTTGGTTTCCCACGACCTGTGTAACAGTAGACTGCAATGTAAGCTGATGATCAGCCCTAGGATGATACTCCAAGAGATCACCAACCACTGTGGGGTCATCGAGCGGAACAACCTGAACCATTCGGAACTCCCCAGAAGTAAAGCCAGTCGGGGCTGGCAAAGTAAGCTTGCAGTCAAATTTCACATACTGCCCACGAAGCTGAGCAAGCTGAGGAGACAACTGCCCTGGTCGAAAGGGGAACCTCTGTGCCAGATACGAAGCGGCGATGGTAACCAGAGCATGACCACAGTTTCCCATGACAATAAAGCGAGCATCAGTGGTGTCATCCCTGAGAATAAGCTGGAGCTTATAGCTGGACGAAAAAAACAAAACATCAACATAAACGAAAACAAAGCTAGTCAAAAAGAGCAAAGAGCCTAGTTTCTCAATCCACTAACCAAACCCGAGTCTGATCCTCTTGCAACTGCCAATCTTTAGGGCACCAAAACGTATTATCACGTCGTCGGGAAACAGCCCTGTTGCACAACCTACACGAATTGTAGTACCATGGGACGTGCGATTCAACATCCACAATCACTCCACCACAACGATGCCTCTCATCCTGTAAAACAAATAACGACAGTTAGCAAACCAAACCAGACGCAGACAACACAACGACGTAGGCCGGCACAGACCAAAGAAGCATTAGTCAGAGCAAGATCAGTAAGTTGTGCCAATGTCCTTGTCCGCCTTTCTGCATCCGCAGTAGCCTCCTCCGCCGTGGCAAACTCAATGGGTAAAGAACCAACTACTTCACGCGTTTCAACAAACCTGACCCCACAAAAGAAACCACAAAATAAATGAGCACAACCGACCAAAACCAACAAACCACGAAAACAACTACAAACCATTACCTCTGTGCAAGGCGGTATGCCTCGGGGACTTGCGGATTAACCGAGACGCGAGTAGCTGCCGAGCTGGACAGAGCAAACCCACCTAGACCAGCAGAGTCGTCAAAACATGCTCGAGAACAGAAGGACAACGACGAGACAACACAAAATGAAGGTGACACACCTTCCAATCTATTGACCAAAAGCCCCCCAAAAGCAAGGACAACGGTCTCAATCGCATCTGCCTGAGTAAGCGCCACGTGATCGATTATCCTTGAGAATTCATCCCACATAGTGATCGTAACCTTCTCCCCACTGGCCAATAAAGAAACAAAACAATGAACACCCACAAAAGGACATCACACGAAGCCAACAAAACAACCAAACAACAAAACCAACCTCTCATTCTCAAGCACGACTGTCTGCTTGACAGCGGGGCCATTGTTTGTGATCTTGTGCGACACACCACTGATTGAGTGCAGACGACCAATCACAGCTGAGAAAACAACCATAAACAAAGTTAAGAGAAATGGATAAAGATAAGCAAGAACTGAACAACACATAACAAAAGTCGACATGGTCTACCCGTCAACTGTCGATGATCACCAGCACGCGGAGAGCAACCTTGCAAAAGGCTGGAACTCATAGGCATCAACGGCAAAGCTCTGAGCAGGAAGATGACACTCGTGGAAAGATGTCAACGGAGTGATGCCGAGAGCAAGATCAAAAGAGCACGCGCGGTAGAGATTCGGCGGGTTGCTGAGGCCAAACGTCTTGAGCACGTATATCTTACCCACGCGCAACGCTTGCCGGATCCCAGATGCCATCGCAGCAGGAGAAAGGCCATGAATCAACATCCCCTACGTCAAGAAGCAAAAGAGAAAAAAAAAGAAAAGAGCGAGCACCGCAGCAGGTGAGACCACTTGCACGGTAAAAGAAGCAAAGAATTCATGCAACGAACCGTTTCGTCCACCCAGAGAGTGCAGAAGTTGAAGACTCTGACATCGTCTGGAGCCTTCGCAGCCCACATGTGGAGCAGCCGAAGACGAAGCACCACAGATTCCTTCTTCGGACCGACGAGATTGCACAAAAGTGTGAACTCCATAACTCGAAAAAGCAACCAAGCGAACGAAACCAGAGAGTGCAGAAGAATGAGAGAGAACGACGAAAGGTGCGAAACAGGAGTGTGCAGAAGCATTTGGAAAAGTTGTTGGTCGAGTGAGTTTCTTAGTGGGACGAACCGATTTTCGTGTGGGTGGGCTGAGTCGCAACAAATGTCTTTCTCCCAAGAAACCCATCAACCTGCAGACAACATCCCACCTCCCAAGTACCTGCACGCAGTGACACCGCCTCCCAAGGACGCAATCATCACCACAAAGGCAATCGCAAAGAGCAGAACCACCTCGCGAAGAAAGGGGCAAAAAGAACGTGCCCGGATATCCATCACGTGATTCGAGGTCGGCGCGTGAGAGGCGGGGTACCTAGAGTACAAAGCAGAGGGAAACAGAACCCAAACGGCGGCACCGCTACACCAGACGTCAGCTCGCAGCACAGGAACAGAGGCAACGCAGAACGGCAGCCAATCAGAGCTGGGTGAATAGTAAAATTGAGTCTGTATGAATAGTGAAACGTGTCTTGAGCTACAGTAATCGGTGTTAGTGGAAATAATTTTTCTTAATGGGGAGCCTAATGACTGGTCATGGGACCCACAAGCGGCCAAATCCATTGAGATAGCCTAACATTAAACACTAATAGCGCCTTCCTCACTTCAAAGCTCAAGTTTATCGCCTCTTTCGTGTTTCTTCTTCTACTGCCGAAAAAGCCAATAGATCTGACTTCCGCGATCCAAATCCAAAAACCTTCAATCCCCATTTCTGGAAATTTTAGCCTCGTCCTTTATCTCCGTATCGTTGGCGGCCCCCGAGCTCCTGAGGAAATGGACGCGCTCCGGAAGCAAGCCAGCAGGCTAAGGGAGCAGGTTGCCAAGCAACAGCAAGTCAGTCCCTACTCTTCTGTTTTCTCTTTTCCGTTTGCTTCTCGAGAAAATGCTAGGAAGAAAAAATTGCGGGAATGGTTTCTGATAGTAGTTCAAAGTTTGATTATTTTGGTATTGGTTTCTGGCTTTCTGCTGGATTATAGGCTGTGATTAAGCAATTTAGTGCCAGTGGTTACGAGAGCTCGGATTCCCTAGTCATCGATGAGGTTGAGTTGCAGAGGCATCAGCAGCTGGAGAAGCTCTACAGGACGACTCGAGCAGGGAGAGTAAGTTTTGACTTGATAAAAACTCAGGAGAAGCATTTCGGCCCCCTTGAGTATGAATTTATTAAATTGACTTTCTATTTGCCCAGGATTTTCAAAAGGACATCATAAGAGCAGCAGAAGCACTTACTGCCATAGGATATAAACATATTGAAGCAGGTAAATGCTGAATTGCATGACATTATTGTCATATTTGAATGGAAAGTGATGTGGGTTTATGTGGTTGCTGATTTTGGTTGATCTTGGTTCGTTCTATTTGTTCACTTACTAATTGGGTATGATCTTGTTAGTTAGGAACCAAACTGTCTGAGGATTGCTGCAGATATGGAACTGAGAACATTAGTGACACCATGCTAGCTAAAGCTGCAGCTATATATGGTGATGCTCGTAAACATGTGGAGAAGGAGACCGAGGATTTAAATGGCTTACTCGCTGCTCAGGTTAACCCTTTTGAGTTGCTTCCTTACTTGTTCTGTTGATTATGTTTAGCGGATAGTGATCCTTTTATATGTTTGGACTAGATAGGTTGGGAACCTAATTTGGATATTTTTATCTCAGGTTTTGGATCCTCTAAGAGCAATGGTTACTGGTACTCCTTTAGAAGATGCCCGACATCTTGCTCAACGCTATAGTCGAATGAGGCAAGAAGCCGAAGTTCAGGTAACCAACTATCGGGCACTTAAAAGTATTGTTTAGTTACTATGAATTTGCTTATGTCTGTTATTGATACTACCTCTTTTGGCCATCATACATTCATTATTCACCTCAATCATTATTAGCGAAACAGGCTACTGAAGTTTCCAAAAGACAAGCACGAGTTAGGGAATCCCCCATCCCTGAGAACGTTGCAAAGTTGCATGCAGCAGAGGCAAAGATGCAAGAGCTGAAGGCAAACATGGCAGTTCTTGGTAAAGAAGCTTCAGCTGCATTGGCTGCAGTCGAGGCTCAGCAGCAAAGATTGACCTTCCAAAGGCTTGTTTCTTTGGTACCCTTACTTCCCACCACTTCCGTGAAATTTCTTTTGCACCAAATCGTGATATTTTAGAGTTTAATGCATCCGTTTAATTTAGGTTGAAGGGGAAAAGAACTATCACTTGCGACTTGGTGCTATACTCAGTGAAGTTGAAACTGAGGTTAGTCATTTTGGTGCGAGTGCGGGGAGAGCTGAGGGATTCATTTATTCTTATGAAATAATTTTGCAGTTCAAGTCCTGTGGTTAATGGCGTTGTTCTACATGCAGATGATTTCAGACAAACAACAAAGAGAGGCAGCTCCTCCTGTCATTCCATCTACTGTAACTCCGTTAGAAAATGGCTCAGAAAAAACCACGTACTTCCTGGCTGAAGTAAGTTATATACCTTTTCCGGTCTTTTTCAGATGTTGAATTACTGGATTTGTGCATTGTATAAAAGGCGCACATTCAAGTTAACATATTGTGCCTCACAAACAGACTGATGGTAAAAAAACATTCTGATCATTCTCTTGCAGGCAACTCATCCTTTTTACGCAGAATCTGACAAGGAGTTGAGTTTGGCAGTTGGTGACTTCATTGTTGTTCGGAAGGTGATGTTTATTCGTTCTCTGATTTTAAGAAATGGTTTGAGCGTAGGGCAAGCAGTTTAGCTGGCATTGAATTTAGCATTAGACATCCTTTAACTGATGTATTTGGCATCTGAAACATGTGTTAAAGGCTTTGTGGCACTTACACGGAAAAGACTAGTGCTTGTCTAAAGTTTCTTTAACTTTTAAAACTTTTCTTTCACTTGTTGGGAGATCATGATCTTATCAAAACCACAGAGGATATGATCTATTTAGTTGTCAGCTGCGTATTTGGTGGATTAGTATAGGAACACCAGCATACAAATCGAAGTAGTCTGCTGTGAGATATTCTGAAGAGAAATCAATTTTACTTGGTCCTCAATTCTCCGGTGATTGTTTGTCTTCTCAGGTTATGCCATCAGGGTGGTCAGAAGGAGAATGCAAAGGGAAATCGGGGTGGTTCCCATCAGCCTACGTCGAGAGGCGCCAGAGGATTCCAACTGCTAATTAAACCTCCAACTTTCACCCAAATTCTAGAGATTTTCCCAACCATCAGAGGGTCCATCTCTCTAATTCGATCTGTTCTTTGAAAATTTACTTCTTTACCTGCAAAAGTGCATTTTTTTACAGGTTTTGTATATTCCTTTGCTGAAACATGGCCCTAGTCGCAGAAAACGTTTCCCGAAAGTGACCGATGTGTTGTCTGTTTGTTTATCCTGAATGTGCTGGAGATGATTCAATTATCAGGATGCAGAAGCTGTGGTTTTTTCAAGTTATGCAGGCTTGTATTCGACGAGATGCCTCTTCAGAGGCTAGGCTGAACTACGAGTCATCTTATCTTTCGGTAATAGAGTCCGTGCCAGCCTAACCAAACATTACATTTCTTCCCAACCGCTGGAAGCTTAAAATTGATGTCCTGAACAAGCTGCAGCAACCCGTCATTCTATGATCATACTATCATAGAAATACTGGCTGGAGGGTCTAAGGTCGGTCGTGCTGTTCCTAGAGTAACTGACCTTAGAGTTTGCCTAACTTCGTTCTGCAAGTCCTTCCTCTACAATTACTACTCTGCCTTGCTCGGCCTTAGTCTCGATGCCAATTGTAGACCCCAACCTTCTAAGCTGAGCTCAAACTTTTTTTTACTAAGAATTAAAGAGCTTTGATCATCGAACGCCAGTTCTTGTCGCCCCCTATGCTTATGCTTGCGAAAATGTTCGGTTAGCTGATTGTAATTCGGAGACTCTCCAAACCTCAATTCAGCATCAAGTGCGCGGAGGGTATTGATATTTGACCATATGGAACTGTGCGTGTCCGCCATGGAAAGAGGATGCAGGAGAGAGCATAGGCAACCCTAGACAACATGTCAACGGGGGACAGTGAAAGTCCGCAGCACGGGACGTTCCAGCGCTCACTGGGCCTTAGAAGGCACGTGCAATGTAACGCAACTAGAAATGACACCACGAAACTAAAGTCTCAAGGTATTGGGAGGTGACACAACGTAGCGAGTGCAGCTGCGGCTCCATCAGTTTCCTATGGAAAGAAAGTTATCAGGGGAGAAAGCAAGCTGCCAAGCAATTAGCAGCAAGTAAATCTCCTCTCCCTAGTTCTCTGTTTGCTTCTCGAGAAAAAAAACGCAATGAAGAAAATGCATTGCGCCGGGCGAGAAAGCAAAATTAGTGGGGGCGGCGGCTGTGGTTGTTAGTTGTTACAAAAAAAAAAAAGCAGCTTGGCTTGCTTGTTGCAGCCATCATCATCGGCGAGAGAGAGGCTGAGTTGCAGAGCGACCAATCAGCTGCTAGTGAAATGATTACCAGAAGACGGAAGGAGGAAAAAAAAGCAACCGAAACAGATGCGCTAAATATTTAAAACACGAGCTAATGGGTAGTTGATGATTGCACTTTAAAACTCTAATCTACAAACCCACCTCGCCATGCCTCCATGGCCACACAGAGGGTCCATCCCACAGGTTGTAAAGCAGAGCAGAGAGGCAAGAGGTAGTGTTCTGTTCATTCATTCATTTCATTAGGGAAATGGAAAGCAAAAGGAATATAAAAGCTAACTCCCCCAAAAAAGCAGTGGAGCAAACTCCACTGTTGATTACCAAAGGAAAGGGAGAAAGAAAAAGCAGTGTGTACATACACAGACACAGACTCCCCTTTCTTTAATTCTTCTTCCTTTCCATCTCCCTAGCCTTTCCTTTTTCTTCAAAACCCATCCAAAAACTTCAAACACCATACATACCAACAAAAGATTCAGCAGGCAATTGCAGCAGCTTTTCCCCTCCATCCCCCCAAAAAAAGTCAGAAGGAACACACAGAGCAGAGCAGAGCAGAGGGAGAGGACCCCGGTTGATTTACTGACATAGCTAAGGGGAATGAAAGGGATCAACATGAAAGGAAGAGAAATCAAAGGAGCTCCATCCACAGCAGATCTGCTTGTCTGTTTCCCATCCCGAGCCCATCTCACCTTAATGCCCAAACCCATTTGCAGCCCAGCCAGAGGATCCGAACCCAACAAGCAGCGCGGCCACCACCATCGTACTCCCTCCGCCGGCGCCGGAGTAGCAAATTACCAGCACCGACTGAAGAAGAAAGGCAGCGTCGGACGCGGGAGCCCGATGCTGTGGGGGAAGACGAAGCAGCAAATGGGTTCGGGCGATAATTTGGTATCGGAACCCACTTCTCCGAAAGTTACTTGTGCAGGGCAGATCAAAGTCAGGCACCACCATCACAAGGCCTCCGCCAATTGCAAGAACTGGCAGTCTGTGATGGAGGAGATTGAGAGACTCCACAATCATAGAAAGCAGCAGAGCAACAGATCGTCCGCTTCGACGACGACGACGACGAGTAGTTGGGCGGAGTCTCTTGGGTTCAAGAAGGAAGTCATGCATTTCCTCACTTGTCTTCGGAGCATCCGATTCGATCTCCGCTGCTTCGGATCGTTCCCTCAGTCCGACATCAATTCCGACGACGACGATGAAGACGAAGAGGATGACGAGAATGAAGGCGAGGACGAGATTGTTGTAGAAGATGATGCAATCGATGGAAATGAAGAGGGAGCGGGGGCGGCCAGTAGCGAGAATTCGAGAGCTGTGTTTTCGAAATGGTTCATGGTGCTGCAAGAGAATAAGGGGAATGATTGTGAAGATGGAGGGGAGAAGGAGAAGGAAGAGGAAGAGGAGGCCGCCGTTCCGCCGGCAAATGCGCTGCTGCTGATGCGGTGTAGGTCTGCTCCGGCGAAGAGCTGGATGGAGCAGAAACAGGAGGAAGAAGAAGCAGAAGATCAAAAGCAAAAAGAAGAAGAAAAAGAAGAGGGAGGGAAGCAAAAGAAAACAGAGGAGGGGGCAGAGGAGAAGAGAGGGAAGAATTTGAAGACGTTGATGGAGGAAGAGAGGAAAACAGAGATGGAGAAGCTAATAGTGATGAGATACGACACTGATTTCTACAAAATCTCATGTGATGTAGCGAAAGAAACATGGGTTGTTGGCGGTGGGATGATGAACATGACGGATCCTTTCTCCAGAAGTCGAAGCTGGAAGAGATGATCGATCTTCTCATCTTCCATCTTCATCACAGTATTGCTAGTCCTCTGCTTAATTTTACCCTCTGCCCCCCCTCTGCTTTTTTTCTTTTCTCCAAACTTCAATACTGCTTCAGTTTTTTTTTTTTTTACTTTCTGGGTCTGATTGAATTAACAACCTTTTTGGCTTCCCTCCAAAAAAGTAAGTTTTCTGGGCTTGTGTGGGATGGGAAATCCAACGCTGGATCGATTTTTTTTTTTTTTGGGTTTATGGTTTGTGTATTGGCACCTCTGTACAGGTTTCTCTTTTTTCAGGGGAAATTTTTTTGGGTGCCCCCTTCCTATAGATGTTGGAATTCATCCATGATGAATGAATATGTAAATGTTACTGCTGTGTAACTGTTGTAATGAATATCATCTGCCTGAAAGAAGTTCCTGCATAAAGAGCCTTCCTTTTTGGGTGACCCTCATTAAGAACAAACCTAAACTTGAGGTGATGATTAAAGGAAACCAGAGAAGCAAATGAAGAGTTCTGATTGAAATTGAAATAAAAATTGAGGGTATACTTTACAGAAAAGCTCCGAGGAGCTAGGGTTTAGACTTTAGAGGAAGAAGAAGATAAGGCGGTATTCATAGCAGAATAAACAAAGGATAAAGTTCCTGGGACCTCCTACAGTAACTTGGGTATAATTTCAAGTTAGATAACTTGTATAAATCTAAACCGTTAAAATCGATCAAACTTAATGTAAACCATTGATTAAAGAAATAAAAAATAAAAAAAATAAGTAAAGAAGCAACGGCAACAATGGTTGCCGGTCACCACATCCTCAATTTACCTATTTTATTTTTTTCTTTCCTTTTTCACAATTGGTTGGTTTCCTTATTTTATCCTTTCCTTTTATTAATTTTTATGGAATTAGAAGCGTTACGTAAGACTTCCGTAATAACTTAGCTCTTTACGTAACAGGACGCTAATACTCATTACGTAAAGAGACCTTCCATTACGTAAGGCTTCCGTAATGACATTTTACAACCGTTACGTAAAATACACATTCATTACGTAAAGGTTACGAAACCATAGTTATTTCTTACGTAACGGTTAAATCAGAAGTGTTACGTAAGGCTTCCGTAATGACTTAGCACTTTAAGTAACACGTGGTTAATACTCATTACGTAAAAAGACATTCCATTACGTAAAGATTACGGAACGACAGTTATTTCTTACGTAACAGTTAAATCAGTAGTGTTACGTAAGGCTTCCGTAATGACTTAGCATTTTACGTAACGCGAGATTAATAGCCATTACGTAAAGACACATTCTATTACGTAAGGCTTCCGTAATGATCTTTTACAACTGTTACGTAAGATTACCATATGTTACGTAAGCATTACGTAATACCTATTGTATTTTAGGTAATGAGACCTGTGAAACCTGCTATAGCAGGTAAAAAAATTCAAGTTACCTTACTTCAAGTTATTGTAGGAAATCTCAAAGTTCCTATGCTGTGCTGTTTGTATATTAGGAAGTAGAGTGACGTAGAAAACAAACAGTAAAATTGGAATCCGTTAAACTGTAATATAAAAGGACAGTAAATAGAGGGAGCCACTTGTCTTCACTTCATTGGTTGTTGTTGGTTACTACTAACCACTAGAAAAAAATGGCCGCTGCTACGCCGCGGGGACTTAAGGTGTCATGACATTCACACTACATAACCACAATATAGCAACACCTTAGAAACTTAATAGCATTTTGCATCGTCTCTGAAAAAAGACAGTTCACGAATAATTTTCCCTGTATGAGGAAAGACATAAAGTTGTCATGGCATTCACACTACATAAGCACAATATAGCAACACCTTAGAAACTTAATAGCATTTTGCATGGTCTCTGAAAAAAGACAGTTCACAACATTCATATTACATGAGCATGATAATTTAGATACTTTCAAGAGTAACTAATTACACAAACCAAACATAATATGCAGGTGAAATAAGTTTCCAACCTGCGACACCATTGGATGCTTCCAAAACACGATTGAGCCCTTACATGTACCAATCAGATAAGCATATAAGAGTGGTTCAAATGCAGCAAGAAATGAAATGCAACTTCTACAGGGCAGCACCATTAGGACATCAGAAGTTTGAATCGGCAGTAGCAGCCTGGATGCAATGGCGAAGGCGAGTGGGTCCCAGAGGGTGATGACCTCAAAAGCTGACCCCGGACATATATGTGCGCACGGTAGTTCCAATTTTAGTAGTGAAGACCTTTCCACGACAGATTGCAACCATGCATTTGCTGCGGTTTTCATCAAGTGCTGTATATTCTCTAGCAGCTTTTTGCAGCAGTGACGAAGCAACATCATTGTCGAATAGGAGAACGCAGGAGGTGGAGATGTCCTTGCATTCCACTTCATTCGAAACCTGTTAAGAAGGTGGCTTCATAGTATGGTTATGGATTCGTTTTATGGTGATGAGGCACCCAACAGTAGGCTGTTAAATTAAGTGTCAAGAAAGTGTTAGAAGCTATAATTAAATTGCATATATTCAAATCCAATTACATAGCGTTTTCTCGTAAGCTGTGTGCCGAGCAGAGTGGTTTTCTGGCAGTCGTCAGATTAAACAGAGTTGTGTGTGGCAGGCTGTATTGGACATACTTAGGGCGATGTTCGGGT